AATGTTTAATTCAAATCTAAGCTTTATTGAATTAGTAGGAATTATATAGAGATTGCAAGTCATTATTGGTCCAGCACAGATACAGGTGTTTATTCCGAGGTGAAATGGGAGCACAAATTGATAGTTTTTCTGCTACTTGAACTATTTCTTTATGGTGGCTCGCTATGGACACAATCTCCCTCAATACACATTCAACACAGTCTTTGCTTTCACCTTTCCCTTCAGCAGAGGGATTAACAATGTCTAAAGGAAGCTTGTAAAGAATCCTTCTGTATCAGAGGTAGTTTTGTGCCTGCTTTATGTATCATAGAAGACATCTGAACAAAGACTCCATAAAAAGGGAAGAAGAGATACACTAGAGCAGAGTTGAGATTCGTGAATTTTTTCAGCTAATTGGCTTTGGTGGCAAAAGTATCAACCAAAATTTAGAATAGCCTTTTGTCTATTTAATAACAAAGCATGCAGTAGCCTGTGCAGACAGTAGCTTTTAATAACAACCTTAAATCTGGCTTGAGCACCAAGGATGCATTTTTAAAAGTATAAAGTACATTTATATTACTACTATAGTGGTGAATTAAGTTCCCTTGAAGCTCCCCAAAAAAGACATGTTCGTTCATGTGCTAATCACCAGAATTTGAGATAGTTCCATATTGGTTAAGCAGGTATGGGCAGGTGTAACTAAATATTAGGCTCTGAAAATGAAGTTGTTATTATAGAAAATCTGGATGGTTCATCAAAACTATCCTGACAAGAGAGAGGCAGAGGTAGATTATATATACAGAGGGGAAAATGCCAAAAAGACAGAGCAAAGTGGAATGAAGCCACTATCCAAGGAATAATAAAAATCACACAAAATGAGGCAAACTGGATTTTCTACTAGAGTCTGCAGAGGAGTGCTGTCCTGCAATATCTTGGTTTTGGATTTGTTGCCTTAAAAAGACTACCGAACCAGGAAACTACTCTTTTATCCCACTGTGTTTGTTTCATAACCATAAGACTCTAATAAGGATTTTAGTATGAGATGGGGTATTACTATGACAAATACCTATATATGTGAAAGTGCCTTTGGAATTGGACACTGGGTAGAAGATAGGACAAATGTTGATGATGAATTTAAAGAGAAACTATAGATTGCATGAGTTAAACCACTGATTGGAATGTGGACGCTAAAGGTATTCCCAGTGAGGGCACAAAAGGAAATGAAGATTGTATTGGGAACCAGAAGAAAAGCAGTTATTATTATATAACAGCAAAAACAGAAATCAAAAAAAAAAATTGTCTCCAATAGTTTTGTGGAAAGCCAATCTTGATCTTGGAAGTGATAAATTTGGGTATTTAGCTGAGTAGTTTGGTAAGCCAAGTGTTGTAGGTATGAGCTAATTTATTCTTGCTGGGGTCGGGGCAGAAGTCTTAAGAGAGTGGGAAGGAAAAAGAATATAATTATGTGAGACATGAAAGTGAAATGGAAGACATGAAAGTGATGGTGTGTTAAGGAGGGGTATTGGTGGAAGGGAGTGCAGGAGGCTAGACGGTGAGGAAAGAGGTCAACAAAATATGCATGAAAACATCACATTGAAACTCATTACTTTTGGTTCTAATTTACAAAAGAGCTAAATAGAAGGAAATGAAATGTTAAGAAAAGAAAAAGAAGAGGCTAACTGAAGAAAGAGTCATTATGTCAATAAGGAAACAGCACTTGATTTGGTAAATTTTGTTACTCTTAAAGATGGGAAAATGAGGAAATTCTGTGCGAGGATGTGCTGTGAAGCTAAGGTGAAGGATGTGGCTTTTAAAGGCTTGTACTGAATAGATCAGGCACACATTCCTGGATTCATTCAACTATCTCAGAGAAAGCCACACACAGAGCTGAAGCTATCTGGGAAAGAACAGTGAGGCTCCGCTTTTCTAAAGGTATGTATGGATTGACATGACATACATGGAAGACCCACATGCTTTTTGGGAGTACAATAATTATCAGAATACTTCTGGCTTGGCTTGAGGAGACCAGATAGGAAACGAGAGAAAGGTGTCAGATAGATTACTATGGGCAGGAAACAAGCTAATAAAATTACTCATCCGTAAATATGTGATCACTCTCAGGTTAGAAAAAGGAGCACCCCAATGGCAAAACCAACTGTGGGTACAAAGGCAGAAACTTGAGCCCTGGAGCAGAGGTCTAGTCCTATATCCAAGAGAAAAGAGCTGCAGTTCCCAAGGGTGATATCTGACAGAAAGCCATTGCCATGCCTTGACACCTATGAACAATTTGCTGAGACCTGATAGGGCAGGTGACTCCTTTCTACTTTCTGTTCTTTTGCTTTTGGAGCAGGAGTGCCTTTGTTATTATTTCATGCCTGCCCAAGTGCAATTTTAGAAGAAAATAGCTCATTTTTATTTGTTCTCTCACTGAGTCACAGGAAGAGAAAGGATACTGTTTCAGGATTAGGCATACCCTAAACATTAGTCATACTTCATTAGATGATCTGTATTGTTGGATAGGATGACATTTGGATGAATATTTGGAATTAGGGGTTACTATAATAGTTTTAGTTTAGGGAATGTTGAGATGGGGTGAATGCATTTTACATATGGGACAAACATACATTTGGGCGGGGGGCTTCAGTTGGCAGACGGGTTAGATAAGAATGTTAACATGTTTGGAAAGAAGAGCCAGAGAGATACAAAGTTCAAGGTCTGTGGTGATGTGAGTATCCTATTGTAACATGGTAGTCTCTAAATGCCACTATCACCATCTTTACAAGAGATGCAGAGAAATACCAGGCACACAGAGGGCACGATGATGTGAAGAGGGACAGAGAAAAATGTGGTCATAAGCCACAAAGCGCCTTTGGCCATCTGAAGATGAACAGGGAAAAGAAGGTGCCTCTGCAGTGGCCTCTGGAGGTAGCATGAATGGTCTGATGCCCAGATGTCAAGCTGCTAGCCTCCAGAAACATGAGACAACACTGCCGTGGTCTTACTTAAACCATCAGATTTATAGACAAGTATTACAGTAGACAAAGGAAAATAGTCTAACCAGCTAACTTGTTTCTATAACAATCCAGAGAAAAAGTTGCAGGAATGGAATTTCTCATCTGTGGCTGAAATAAACAAAAATAAATAAAATACTTCAGCCTAATTTGGTTTTATTTTAAAAGATGGCACTATGTAATTTTTTGGATGATACCTTTCAACCAAAAACAAAAAGTGCAAGTGGCTGGAACAGTACTATTGTAAATCACATAAGTTAATTATGTGCCCCCTGAAAGGTTTTCTAATGTTTGTGAAAAGGATGTGGAATGCATTTAAATACAAATATATAATTTATCAATAATAGTACTTCATTCATTCTTGTTTACAAACTAGAAAATAAGGCAAATTCACATCTGGAAAAGGTGATACATGTAAGTATTTCAACCTTGTCCAGTTAGATAATATGGCAGGGCAAATGCCCCGAATTTCAAAGTTTACATTTCAATGTCAATTTTCTACAGCCTGAAAAGCAATAAAAACAAAACACAAAACCTCAAAGAAGCCATACCACAACATTTCACAAAATACTTTGTAAAGTCATAAATGCCTATGATAGTTATTTACATCAATTAGGAGAAACTAAATTTTGTGGTTATTGTTTAAAAAAAAGTGTGTGAAAGTGGTGTGTTCTTAAGTGTGTGTGTGTGTGTGTGTGTGTAGTTTCAATTAAAAAATGGAAAAAGACTCAGACATTGTTACCTTCTGATTTCTCTACTTATAGCAGCTCCAGAGTATTTTGAAGTATAATACCCAAGTAAGAATGTACTGGAGTGAAAGGCAACAGTTTAAATTACTATACATCTGTATAAAGATTCTGTTAGCTACTGGTCACTTGCTTACATTATCTCAGAAGGTGGCTTGCCAAGCCAGTCTTTTGTTCTTTTCTCTGAATGTCTATAATGTGCTTTGGAGAAACAGAATTTTCTACATGAGAAATATACATACAAGCAATCTTTTACAGCAATCACAATCATCTGCATGAATTAGTCTTGAAATTACACCCCAGAGAAGTTACACCAATTATTACAAATGCACACTGTAAGAGAATAGACAAGTTAAGTATAACTTCTGTTCTCTCACACATCTAAAACAATGCTGAGCTTCTTTATCTGTTAGTGTTGTTTTGGCAGTATCACTGAAATGTGTTAATAATATAAGGTAAGTAAGTATGGTGATGACAGAGAGGTTTGCCTCTTTACTGGGGTATGGAACTACTACATGAAGAGATACAAACACACACACACACACACACACACACACACACGCATGCACACACACAGACACATACACATGCATGCTCAGAAATTTGCTTTAACTACCAAAGTAGAATGGGAAAAGGGGTAGAAAGGAAAGAAAACAATTGACCTTTCCAAAAGTTTTTACTGCCTTCTGCATAAAGAAATCCCTATGGACAGTTTTGTAGTTCTCTTCCCTAACTCTCAGGGGTGAAGGGAGAAAGAATCACTACAGTGAAGAATCTAAAGAAAGGCAATAGAATTTTTAGGCTCATCCCTAGCATAGGCATGAACATGCAGAGGTTTTCTCAAAAATAGCTATATAAAGTAATTATATAAGGCAGATGTTTATGCAGAATTAAGAAATACTTCTTAAATAAAGTTGAAATCTAGGAGATTCTGTTAAACTTTGGTTTATTTTTAGTAATGATATGTGTATGTGTGATATTATGCTGAAACACTAGACTACTGGTAGGATTAATTTCTGCCAAATGGATGATTCCATTAGCTTTCACTTGAGAGTGATTCTAAAATAACTTGACTCAGGCTTCTCTTTCAGAGTGTGCTATGTGCAACTTGGCAATCATTAACACACCTATCTCTTGGACTTTACACTATGTACATAAGAAGAGCTAGGAGTAGACACTGAAAATTCTGTCTATTCCTCTTTCTTCCTTACTTCTTTACTTCCTTCCTTCCTTCCTTTCTCTTGGGGGAGGCAGGTAGGGTGGGTAGGCCAGACCTAGAATTTTCAGTTTTAGATTCTTTGACAGACTGGAATGATTATTATAGAAGCCTTAGATTCTTCCACTTGTTTTTTATAATTTCATTTTCACAGTCAGGTCATTATACGCAATGCATATTTAAACAACAGAGGAACAAATGTTTTCTATTCATGACAGCTGGGTTTGGATTAGTGTACTTGCAGTACTCCTACAAATACACATTACTTCACCCAGCTCAGCTTGACCTTTGTGGAAATGCATTTATTTCCACTCAAACCCTTGAGTGTATATTTTGTTCTTCTCAAGATGGATGATTTTGTTTTCTTAAATGTCTCCACTCTCTCTGGCATCAGGAATCACTTGGCTGACAAAGCTCCATTGTGACGAGAACGTGATCTTTCCAGAGGGGCCCGTCTGTTATCTGTAGGACAAAGAGAAGAAGGGAACACACGGTGAGTTTTAGATTCTGACTATTGCACAGTGACAGGTCGAGAGAGGTTTTCAAACAGTCTTGAAAAATCACTTCAAATGCATATGGAAATAAGCTGCAAAGAGGCCGGATCTGAGGCATTTACACTGCAGCTGCCAGGCTGAGTTCAAGAGTTCTGCAATCAGCAAGAAATGATTTTTCTTGGTAAGCAGAGACAGAGTGATAAAAAAAAATGGAAGAATTCTCTCAAGCACAGACCCCTTGGAAATAAGCAGGTGACAACAAAATTCCCTGGTGAAGATGTTAAATTGAAAAGATCAATGTATAGTGCCTTTTGTTAAAAACCTCTTCAATCCCATGAATTTCCAATTTGTATGCTGTCTACCTCTAAAGGGCATCAATGTATGCAGAGTGGGGGGTAAAAGTTTCTTTTCTTTTCTTTCTTTCTTTTTTAAACAATGATTGCAATATATGGCAATCAAAACAGCTACTGAGTTTGCCTGCTTGTATGATGTAAACAAATTCAATACATTATATAGTCATTACGGGAATGAATAATGAATGGGAACTATTCTTGGTCCCATTCCCCTTACCCATCACAGGAAGAATAATCACTGTAGAGATGACTGTTGGCTCAAAGCTTGGAAAGCAAAGTTTAAAAGCATTGAAAGTTGCTGAAAATAGTTTTAGCTTTAATAGGGAGAAGGCTTACAGCTTTGCACTGTGATGATCACTACTATATTATTATCACCTCTGTTTTATGCTCAGCTTAAATGCAATTGATGTGGGTGAAAATCTCTTCCTGGCAAAAGCATAATATACTTAGATTCTCTATTTAGAATGAGACTCAGTCCCTAGAAATAATGACAACCACTAGCACTTACATAAATGCTAACACTTTACACTAGTTAATTTGCTAATTCACACAACATCCCCGGGAGGTAAGCCCATTTCATTCCATCCTATTATCTCTGCTTTAGTGATGAAGGTTACACAGCAAATCAATGGTATGATGGGAGATTATAATGCAAATTTAATGCCTAAATGTTAGGCCTGCTTTGTTTAGAAGTAGATGTTGGAGCCTCCCATGCTGCTATTCATTTCTTCCATAAGATGGTGATGGCCCATGAGCATATCTTGTCTCTCCATGGGGAGGCTGGACTGAGAAGTGCTGAGGTTTTGTCATGATGCCTTTCTGGGTTGTACTATCATCTCTTGACTGATTCCCGGTAGTCTGTGGTCAATACACAGCAAAACTTTCTTATAGCCATGACCTTGGCCTCATTAACACCACCTTGTGAGTGCACTGAGCAAACTAGTCACCAGTTTAAAGTGTCCTCAATGCTTCAGAATGCAATCATATTGCAGAAAGGTGAGAAAGCAAGAGGCTTTTTGTACTTGGAGATACATCTGAGTAATGGATTATCTGGGTATCCTTTTGAAGATACCATTAAAAAATCCATTATTTAATTTGTGATATGGATCATAATTCAACTAAAAATGTGAAGATAACATTCCTGGATAAAGGGCTTATTACTTAGATGACCCAGATTTGCTTACAGATTAGTTTGGGACTTCTTAGAAGACATTTAAAACTTAAGCTACAACCACATGGTTCCCATTGCATTGCAAGAATTAAAACTTGTGTTTTTCTCAGATACAAGAAGGATGGCAGCATTCCCACAGGGGTGTGCCAGCTCCATGAAAGAAGCTGGTGCACTGGGGATCCTACAAGCTGGGGTCAACAGGTGTCCATGCTTCCCTCCAGGAAGACTCTGGTTACCAGTACCTCCAAAATTCTAGCCGTACAGTATTAAATGATAGGATGTGATGATTCACACTAACTTGCATTTTTGTTTGAGCCAAAGCAAACTGTCTAAAGCATGTTAAAGCTTTTAGAAAGTGGCATGATCATTGGTTCAAGACCCAAACCTGGCTCTGTAGACGATAAAAAAAAAAAGAGAACTATTTTAGATTTTCTTTTTCTCTCCCTTTGATCTCTCCCTCATAGGAGCCTAACAGACTCCTAAATTAATAAGATAATTACAAGAAGAAGAAATTCTGTAAAGGCCACAACTTATATTTTTGAAATATCAACCTATAATCTTGTTTATGAAGAAAAAATCATTAACAATGACATTGTGGATCTGAATTTTTAAAAATTCACTTCCAGTTCCTTATATTTATTTTAAGCCTAATTTTGTCATAAAACATATATTTATACCATAAAGTTCTATGGATCAAGCCGTAAGTGGAATCAAATGCATCTCAAAAAGTGTGCATATGTTTGCATGTGTAAGCGTGTGTGCGCGCGCACACACACACACACACACACACACACACACTTTTCTGTATTTTCATATGCTTACATAGATTTTCCATCTGACTTTACAGCTAATGGCTAATAATCTAGCAATCACAACTTTTCATGCTCAATAGTGAGTTCATCTTTGAATAAGAGATTGAAATACCACCAAATGGATATTTGAAATGTAATTTTCATATTTATGGTATCCAATACTAATAATCATAAGGACATATAAGGACCTCATAAGTCAGCATCATATTTACAATAAAAGAGCAACTGCTACATATTATTGCTGTCAGAAGTAACAGGGTAATTGTGAAACTGATGATAGTTATTGTTTGGAAACAGGTGGAGGGAGGAGCTGATGTGCTATATGATTTGAGGGCTTGGTAAGACCTACTCAGGATCAATTTCATTTTCAAGTCTACCAGAATTTGGTAAGAAAACCCAAACTAATTCTCCTTATTTGTGAGAGACAAGGTTTTGAAATAAACTCTATGTGTAGGTGATGTTACTATAGACCTTGAAATTTTAGAGAGTGGTATTGAAGAGAAGGATATACTTTTTACAAAGACGCATGCTATGGAGGCAGATGGTCTTCAGGAAATCTACCAAATTTTTCACCAAAGGAGAACTTTAGCCCATGTAGTGTCACTAACATGGTTTTGTACCTTCTATTAGGCTACCCATGTTAAACTAATATCAAAAGTGTCCTTGTCATAAGAGGATGAAGTTCCATGCTTTCTCTAAGCAAAGGTATATGTGGCATTCATCTCTAAACGTTATTGAGTATTGTAGTAAGAAGGTTAAACACACTGTTGTATTTACTGTTCTAGAAACCACTCATATAATCATTTATTTAGTGACTATGTAAACAACAAATAATGCAAGGATATACATAAATGCCATTATGTTTTAGGTCTATACCTAAACCCATGTCAATAATTTTGTTGTTACTGTAAATGTCAAGTAAAATGACCAAAGACTAAAGACAGGTAAAACATAGCCAAAAACTAAGAGGACAAAAATCAGATTACAAGTTTCAGTTCTGCAGTATGCAACCTGGGGTGTGCAGTCAGTACCCTAATAAAGTGTATGCCCAGTGTAGGCATACTACATGAGATGGTCAAGTTGAGACTGAAACTATGATATTAAAAAAAAAGCCATGTCCACTACCTTTTCTTCTCTTAGTGTAATGTGCCTGTGTAGTCCTCTGAGAATAATGCCTTAAAAATATCTTCAGCTCAAACTAGACATGCAATGTGGTGTTCTATCCTTTCTATGAAAAAATTTTCTGTTATTAGATTTCTGACATATAATACTGAGAAATGATTTTAATGGCTATGTATTCATTTTATATTATGTAAATATATCATAATTTGCTAATCATTTCTCTTCTGAAGTGTATTTAAGTTGGTCCCAATATTTTGTTACTATAACAGTGTAGAAACAATGGAGAAATGACCATTCTTATAGTTACATCAATATGTATGCCATGTGTAGTAGAGGCATTACTAAGGTATGCAGAAGTAACCCCAAATTGTATCAGAGAATAGTTGCATTAATTTAATTCCAATTGGTAGTACATGATTTTGTCTGTCTTATCTCTTTGGGTAATAATCTTTTAAAATGTGCTAATATAAAAGTGAAAAATGACATGATTCATTCCTCTTGCATTTTTTTCAAATATTAGTGAGGTGGAACTTCTCATATATTACCATCCATTTATTTTCCCCTTACATGCTGGCCTTGTCCTTTGGATGCTTGTTATGCTGTTTGATTTTGTACATGATATACTTAAAATAGCAACTAACTAAAATATGAATTAGAAATATTTTTCTTTGTTATTTGCCTATTTTGTGTTGTGTATTTTTAGGATTGTATGGTTTCATTTTAGTTTTTTACTATTTTTATGTAACTAAACCTATCAAGATTTACATTTTGATATGTTCTTTTATTCTCAACTTTCTCTACTAGATATGTTCTAGTAGACATGTATCTAATATTCAGACATTTTATAAGCATTAAGTCATGATTCTTCACAGTGTTCAAAGTTTAATTATTTCATATTTAATTACTAAAATTATCTTCAACTTACATTGTTTCACAATGCCAAATAAATGTCCACACTACTTTGTTCTTTGTTTTATTTTTCTTTGCAAAAGACATAGGTTGTTCCATCACCATTTGGTGAATAATAATAATTTATATCCTTTTTATCATATTAAAAATATTGGAGTTTCTATTATTTTGTCATTGGTATTATTCTGATTTTTTATATAAATTCCTTCTCATTTCATTCATTCATAATAATTTCTCTTTCATCATCATCATTACTATTGTAATAAGTATTTGAAAGGCATGTTCTTCCTATCTAGTTCAAGTTGGTCTTGAATTATAATGCCCTGGCCTCTGTCTCTTTAATGCTAGAATTATGGATGTGAGAGTTATGGTATGTTTTAGTACCTGTAGGAGCTAGCCTTCATCATTTGTCTTTTCTTTTAAAACATACACTTTGGCTGGTAATATGGCTCAGTGGTAGGACACTTGGCTAGCATGTGAAAAGCTCTGGGTTTAATTACTAAAACCATCCCATTAAAATCCTCATGAGGCACAGTTCAGCAGTAGACATTATTTTATAATGATAAAGAACCTGAAAAACAACAGAACTCAATAAATATAA